TGCGGAAGGGACAGATAACCCATAATTGATTTTCTTCGTTGGTTTTTTATTTGTAACCCCCCGATGAGAGACAAAATACAATATACCCCGCGCGGGATTACGCGCAGTTATGCGTGGTGCCCATCACTACCTATTAGATTCAGAGACGCACATATGTTTTTTCAAATATAGAAGTTTCAAAATAACGCCCATGTGCATTATATATGCAAATATGGATAGTTCCATTTGCTTAATAAAAATTTACAAATATATATATCTATAAATAAGTATACAAAGTTCTTATACTACGCACGTCACATGTCTAATAATATGATACAGGCAATTTTATTTCTTGAAATGAAAAAAAACATGAAAGTAATAAAACATAGATATGATTTTTATGACTGATAGCCTAATCCTAAAGTTATCCAAATAAATAATTTAAATGGGAAGAAGATAAAAATCTTTAAAAAGTTCATATTTCAAATTTACATTAATTCAAAATATTAAAATATCGTTGGTCTGAACGGTTCCTTAGACTTAGGCTGATGTTTTAAGAGGAAGGGGGCAAATTATTGGATAAAGAAAATATGTTACTAAAATCATCCTGTGCATTATCATTTAGAATAATGTAATTGGTATCAATATGTGGAAAAAAACTGGGTTGGATTGTTTGAATTGGTTGAAATCCTTCATTAAAAATGTGGTTAAAGTAGAAAGGGATGGATACACTAAATGGATATTCAGTTAAGGTCAATGTTTGTTCCTGCTCAGTATTTGCATCTTCATTGAAATTACTTTTAAAAACGTTAGCTGATCTATTAGCCACTTTCGGTCCTCGCTTTTTAACCGTGTTAACATAAATACACCTAAAGTTATGCGATGAACAATATTTGCAAGTAGATTCTTCAGAACACTTCGTGTGTTTTTTTCGGCAATTGGTGCATGCGTTAGTAGCGTAATGGCCTCGTTGTTGTCGACTTGAACAAGGCATTATCAACTTAAGTATTTAGCAGATAAATATTATATAAATAATATACTGTATATTATGGGAAAAAATTTTATAGATGCGAGTAAATAGACACCGATAATAGCTGAAGTATTTAATCGATCGTTGTCTTAAAGTTATGATAAAAGACGTGGTGAATGTCTATTTATAAAAAAAAAAGCTTTTTATTCTAAATTAGATACGGAGAATGTGATGTTTCCATATCTCTAATTTAGATGTGGAGAATTTGATGTTTCCACAACTCTAATTTAGATGTGGGGAATGTGATGTTTAGATACGGAGATCTTTAGTTGTAACATCCTTTTATAGTAAAGATGAACATATTTTACGTTTTTTAGTCATGAAAATCGGTTTATAGTATGATTTTCTATGAACGTCATTGCTGTTACACATAAACTTAAAATTCTTGAAACAAGATACACGAAGTGAAACATAAAATTTTGAAGCAGAATTTAATATAGAAGTCTATATGCAGTTATATTAGGCAAAGTTAGTCAGTATTGTATAAGAGTAAATTAAATTTTAAGTTAAATGAAATTGTATGAATTATGTAATGAATATATGGTAAACCTATATAGTATAACCTGTTAGATGAGTATAGTAAACTTGATATTATGTATAGTAAATATACCGAAAGTATAGTTGTTAGACGAAATCTTTTTCACATGATGACGAAAGACGAAACCTCTGACGAAAGTCGAGACCCAAATTCTTCTGACGAAAGACGAAACCTTAAATGCTCAAAAAGACGAGACCCTAATGTTCACTCTAAAAAAAAAAAATAAATAAAAACAATTATTATTTTCATTGAATTAACATTCATAATTTAAATTTCTGTTTTTGTTAGTTTATTTTTTTATACACATAATCTTCAATGATTTTCAACATTTGTATATTCGTCTTTTATTAGTTTTGTCATCCTTTACAGTTTCGTCAGTTTCGGCACCTTTCATCGGTTTCGCTATTTTGCCATTTAGGATTTTAATTGACGAAAGACGAAACTATGTTACGCGTTTCATCAGCGCGAAACCTCGAAGTTTCACCTAACAGCTATAACCGAAAGTATAACTTTTGCGGTTTAAATTATACGGTATGCATATTTTTTATTGCATTTATTTATTTAGATAATGTATGTATTACTGCTGTACGTCGAGATTGTATGTTGTGGGCTTCGACTCCACCTATTAAGTGGATTAAAATTAAAATTAATCATTATCAATCAATAAAAAAAAATAAAAATAAAAATAAAAAGATTGAAATTCTTATTTGTCAAACCTCTCTACACTGTAAATTTACGATTATGCTGCAAGAACATCCATCTTGTAATGCATTTGAAGGAAGCATGCTAATGAAATTCCTTATTATGCAAGAATAATATGACTTCCGTATTAAAGTTCTTCAAGATTCATTAAATACAACCATCAAAACCACTAAAGCTCGTTATTGGGACAAAAATATTAATTAAGATTGCAATGCCTCTTACTTGCTTATGGAGGAAGATTAATTCAATTAGGCCATAAAAAATTTCAAATGCCTTATTTGTAATTTTAAGAACACCCGGTTTGCTTCCATTTAAAAAAATAGTTATTAATTCTGAGTCAATTTTAGTCAATATAACGGTATTTATTAAATTGAACTCAAAATTCTCCAACAATTAGCCAATTTAGAATTCTGTTACGATTTATGCAATTTATACTAATTTGGAATCCAAGCACAAATATTTTTTACTAGATTCTATTTATGCGTAATTGTTCTTTTTTTTTTATTACTCGTTTTTCAACTTATTCCAAAGATTCTCTTTGAAAACCAATTTTTTTAGTATGATATCTATTATTACATTAGATCTTCAATTTTATTAACAAGCAATAAAAATTTATGGCTTTTTTTTTTAACAGTATTTTCAAATTTTGAACGAAGCTATTTTCGAATTCTATAAATCAATAGGATTCAAAAACAGCCTTAAACATTTAAATTAACCAAGTCGTTATTAAGATTCTTCATTAAAAGCTCGAAGAAAACATAAAGAATTTTAGAATAAAAATTAATTATTCCCGATTCCCATATTTTCGTGTAGTGTGCTAGTAACTCTTATTAATCGAAGTTATTTATACAAGTATAAATTTTTATTATACATTAAACTAAGTGTATAATTTTTTTATCAAATTACGGAATGTATAAAAAAATTTAAAATTTTATATTTAATTCATGATCCGCCTAAGAACCAGTGACAAAACATAGTAAATAGTGGAGATATTTACTATATATTTTTTTAGTGTCTTTGGAATCTGGCGTTTCCCAAAGGAAACCTTTTTCTTTACTAAGTAAACCTCTCTTCGACTCCTAAATAAACTTGTAGAGGAGTATCTTGCGATCAAAGTGGTGGTTTAAACGCTAAAATCGGACCAGTGGATCATGAGATATAAGTACTTTAGTCTTCGCGACTATATGTTCTCTTCTTTATTTACATAAAGAAGAAAATATATAGTCGCGAAGACTAAAGTACTTATATCTCACGATCCACTGAGCCGATTTTAACGTTTAAACACCATTTTGATCACAAGACACTCATCTACAAGTTTATTTAGAAGTCGAAGAGAAAAAATTCTACCTTTGGGAAATGCCAGATTCCAAAAAAGGAGGTCGGCTAAAGCGGTGCGAGTTTTGATTGTCTACATGTATGATGTCGATCAGTTAATGATTATCTACATTTACTAACAAAATTTGGTTTTTTTATATCTTCTAGCAAAGGTTTCTCAATAGCTATGTAATCAAACTTAATAAAAATTTTTTATTCAATTCTACAAGCTTGCAGAATTGGAATAAAAAAAAAAGATTCATTGAGTTTGACCTGGTAGTTATTGAGAAACGTTTATTTAAAGTTTAAAAACATGATCGTACCCATATATCTGTATTTCTCTTTAAGATTTCGATGATTTTTTTTAAACTTTAAACAAACGTTTCTCAATAACTACCAGGTCAAACTCAATGAATCTTTTTTTTTATTCCAATTCTGCAAGCTTGTAGAATTGAATAAAAAATTTTTATTAAGTTTAATTACATAGCTATTGAGAAACCTTTGCTAGAAGATATAAAAAATACCAAATTTTGTTCGTAAATGTAGATAATCATTCACTGATCAACATCATACATGTAGACAATCAAAACTCGCTCCGCTTTAACCGACCTCAATAAATGTCAATCCCAAAGGTTCAGAGGAGTTATTTTGGTCAATGTACGAACTCAAATATACAATCTTCAATAAGTGGAAATATCAAAATAACCCCATGTGCATTATAATGTGCAAAAACAGTGGCTCTTCTTGTCTAATAATTTTTTTTTTTTAGGCGAGACCAATTTAATTCAGTGGTTTACGTTACATCCTACTCACAAAAAAGAGGGGGGGGGGGGGGGGGGTGGGGGGGGGGGGTGGGGGGGGGGGGGGGGGGGGGGGGTGGGGGGGGGGGGGGGGGGGGGGGAGCGGGGGGGGGGGGGGGGGGGGGGGGGGGGGGGGGGGGGGGGGGGGGGGGGGGGGGGGGGTAACGTAAACCACTGAATC